CACCTGTGCAACTGAAGATTATATAACGTGAAATCCAAGACCACATGTACACATTCGTGCTGGATCCGAGCAGGATTTGTCGAGGAATTTGTTAAAGTTTGAGGGTTCGACTTTTGGAACGGACTATATTAGTTTGTTTTTGGATATCCACTATTGTGTTCCTTATTTTACAAAGGAAATGCATCGGTATCAGTCGTGATCCCATCGTTGTCGTACCTCTGACCATTTGTCTCGCTTCTGTGAACCCTGTGTATTCTTTTACTGTGTTTCCAGTAGACAACGAATAAAGTTATTATAACCACAGCGGTTACAGGAATGGTAACAATAATGGCAGCCAATGCTTCTGTACTAAGTCCGTCGCCTACGTCACTCATATTTCCGATGTTCGATACTGTTCTGTTGCTCTCGTAAATAGTTGTAGTTTGTGATGTTCTATTGCTTTTGTATATGGTTGTGTTTTCAAATGATACGTATGTGGTATTCAGTTTAGTTGGGATGGTAGTGGGTTTAGTTGTGATGGTAATAGGTTGAGTTGTGGTGGTAGTGTGCTTAGTTGTGATAGAAGTGGGTTTATTTGTAGTGGTAATAGGTTTAACTTTGATGGTAGTGGGTTTAGTTGTGATGGTACTGGGTTTAGTTGTTGTGGCATTGGGTTCAGTTATGGTGGTAGTGGGGTTAGTTCTAATGGTAGTGGGTTTAGTTGTAATGACAGTGGGTTTAGTTGCGACAGTAGTGGGTTTAGTTGCGATGTTAGTGGGTTTAGTTGCGATAGTAGTGGGTTTAGCTGTGATTGTAGTGGGTTTAGTTGTGATGGTTTTGGGAGCAGCTGTTCTGGCAGTGGTATCGGGATTAGTTTTAATGGTAGTGGGAGTAGGTATGGTGGTAGTTATTTTAGTTGTGGTAGCAGTGGGAGCAGTTGTAGTAGGGGCAACCGTAGTGGTAGTAGGCACAGTTGTAGTGGTAGTGAGAGTAGTTGTGGTGCTAGTGCTAGTAGTTGTAGTAGTAGTAGGAGCAGTTGTGGTGGTAGTGGCTATAGCTGTGGTGATAGTGGGCGCTGCAGTTATAGTGGTAGTGGGAGTAGTTGTGGTAGTATTAGGAGCAGTTGTGGTGGTAGTGGGAGTAGTCGTGGTGGTAGTGGAAGTAGTTGTGGTGGTAGTGGGAGTAGCTGTGGTGGTAGTGGGAGTAGTTGTGGTGGTAGTGGGGGTAGTTGTGGAGTTAGTGGGAGTAGTTGTGGTGGTAGTGGGAGTAGTTGTAGGGGTGGTTGTGATGGTAGTTGGGGTAGTTGTGATGGCAGTGGGAATAGTTGTGGTGGTTGTGGGGGTAGTTGTGGTGGTAGTGGGGGTAGTTGTGGTGGTAGTGGGAGTAGTTGTGGTTGTAGTGGGAGTAGTTGTGGTGGTAGTGGGAGTAGTTGTGGTGGTAGTGGGGGTAGTGGTGGTGGTAGTGGGAGTAGTTGTGGTGGTAGTGGGAGTAGTTGTGATGGTAGTGGGAGTAGTTGTGATGGTAGTGGGAGTAGTTGTGATGGTAGTGGGAGTACTTGCGATGGTAGCGGAAATAGTTGTCGTAGTTGTGAGAGTAGTTGTCGTAGCCGTGGGAGCAGTTGTCGTTGTCGTGTTAGGAGTAGTTGTGGTGGTAGTGGGAGTAGTTGTGGTTGTAGTGGGAGTAGTTGTGGTGGTAGTGGGAGTAGTTGTGATGGTAGTGGGAGTACTTGTGATGGTAGTGGGAGTAGTTGTGGTGGTAGTGGGAGTAGTTGTGATGGTAGTGGGAGTAGTTGTGATGGTAGTGGGAGTAGTTGTGATGGTAGTGGGAGTAGTTGTGATGGTAGTGGGAGTACTTGCGATGGTAGCGGAAATAGTTGTCGTAGTTGTGAGAGTAGTTGTCGTAGCCGTGGGAGCAGTTGTCGTTGTCGTGTTAGGAGTTGTGGTAGAAGTACGAGTAGCTGTCGCTGTCGTGGGAGTATTTGTCGTACTAGTGGAAGTTGCTGTGGTAGTAGTGGGAGTAGTTGTCGTAGTCGTGGGAGTAGTAGTCGTTATAGTGAAAGCATTTGTCGTAGACGTGGGAGTAGTTGTTGTAGTCGTGGGAGAAGTTGTCGTTGTCGTGAGAGTAGTTGTGGTATTCGTGGAAGTAGTTGTTGTAGTCGTGGGAGAAGTTGTCGTTGTCGTGGGAGTAGTTGTAGTAGTAGTGGGAGTAGCTGTGGTAGTCGTGGGAGTAGTTGTAGTAGTGGGAGTAGTTGTGGTAGTAGTGGGAGTAGTTGTAGTAGTCGTAGGAGTAGCTGACGTAGTCGTGAGAGTAGTTGTGGTAGTATTGGGAGTAGTTGTGGTAGTCGTGGGAGTAGTTGTGGTAGTATTGGGAGTAGTTGTGGTAGTCGTGGGAGTAGTTGTAGTAGTGGGAGTAGTTGTGGTAGTATTGGGAGTAGTTGTGGTAGTATTGGGAGTAGTTGTGGTAGTCGTAGGAGTAGCTGACGTAGTAGTGGGAGTAGTTGTGGTAGTAGTGGGAGTAGTTGTGATAGTAGTGGGGAGAGTTGTCGTAGTAGTAGGAGTGGTTGTGGTAGTAGTGGGGGTAGTTGTGGTAGTCGTGGGAGTGTTTTTGATAGTATTGGAAGTAGTTGTGGTAGTAGTGGGAGTAGTTGTGGTAGTAGTGGGGAGAGTTGTCGTAGTAGTAGGAGTGGTTGTGGTAGTAGTGGGGGTAGTTGTGGTAGTCGTGGGAGTGTTTTTGATAGTATTGGAAGTAGTTGTGGTAGTCGTAGGAGTAGCTGACGTAGTCGTGGGAGTAGTTGTAGTAATAGTGGGAGTAGTTGTAGTAGTCGTGGGAGTAGCTGTGGTAGTATTGGGAGTAGTTGTGGTAGTAGTGGGAGTAGCTGTGGTAGTATTGGGAGTAGTTGTGGTAGTAGTAGGAGTAGTTGTAGTAGTCGTAGGAGTAGCTGACATAGTCGTGGGAGTAGTTGTGGTAGTATTGGGAGTTGCTGACGTAGTCGTGGGAGTAGTTGTGGTAGTATTGGGAGTAGTTGTGGTAGTCGTAGGAGTAGCTGACATAGTCGTGGGAGTAGTTGTGGTAGTATTGGGAGTTGCTGACGTAGTCGTGGGAGTAGTTGTGGTAGTATTGGGAGTAGTTGTGGTAGTCGTGGGAGTAGTTGTGGTAGTATTGGGAGTAGTTGTGGTAGTCGTGGGAGTAGTTGTAGTAGTGGGAGTAGTTGTGGTAGTATTGGGAGTAGTTGTGGTAGTATTGGGAGTAGTTGTGGTAGTCGTAGGAGTAGCTGACGTAGTAGTAGGAGTAGTTGTGGTAGTAGTAGGAGTAATTGTCGTAGTAGTGGGAGTAGTTGTGGTAGTAGTGGGATTAGTTGTGGTAGTAGTGGGAGTAGTGGGAGTAGTTGTGGTAGTAATAGGAGTAATTGTCGTAGTAGTGGGAGTAGTTGTGGTAGTAGTGGGAGTAGTTGTGGTAGTAGTGTGGGAAGTTGTGGTAGTAGTGGGAGTAGTTGTGGTAGTAGTAGGAGTAATTGTCGTAGTAGTGGGAGTAGTTGTCGTAGTAGTGGGAGTAGTTGTGGTAGTAGAGGGAGTAGTTGTGGTAGTAGTGGGAGTAGTTGTGGTAGTAGTAGGAGTAATTGTCGTAGTAGTGGGAGTAGTTGTCGTAGTAGCTGGAGTGGTTGTCGTAGTAGTGGGAGTGGTTGTGGAAGTAGTGGGAGTAGTTGTGGTAGTAGTGGGAGTAGTTGTGGTAGTCGTGGGAGTAGTTGTCTTAGTCGTGGGAGTAGTTGTGGTAGTAGTGGGAGCAGTTGTGTTAGTCGTAGGAGTAGCTGACGTAGTCGTGGAAGTAGTTGTGGTAGTAGTGGAAATAGTTGTTGTAGTCGTGAAAGTAGTTCTGGTAGTCTTGGGAGCAGTTGTGGTAGTCGTGGGAGTATTTTTGGTAGTAGTGGAAGTAGTTGTGGTAGTCTTGGGAGTAGTTATAGTGGTATTGGTGGTAGTTATCATGGTAGTAGAAGTAGTTGAGGTGTTAGTCCTAATAATTGTTGTGGAATTAGGAGTAGTTATAGTGATAGCTGAAGAAGGTTTGGTGGTAGTAGACGTAGTAGTTATTGATGTAGTTGGAGCAGTTGTGGTTTTAGAAGGTGTAGTTATGGGGGTTGTGGGTACAGTGTTTCCTGTATTTAGTCTACTAGCTAATGCATTCGAAAATGTTGCTGTGGTTTCTAAAACGTCTCGCTTAACATTATGTCTGCGTCTTGTATCATGACTTGTTGATGCATTGACTGGATTTCTGGTTGTTGTAGTCGATGCCGTATCCCGGATTGGCACTGGTTTGACTGACACTTTTGGTGAAGTCTCTAATGTTTTAGTACTGGTCATCAGGTTATTAGTTTGACATGTTGAATTTGAGAACGTTGCCTTGACTTGACCAATTGCCACAGTGCTAATACTGGATACTTTTTGACTCTCAAATGAAATCTGGAGACAGAATATTATTCTAGTGTTACTTCGTAGAAATAGTTAACGGTAAAGTGTTTTTTTTTTGAGTTGTGTTTGGAGAGAGAGAAAAAGTGTTTGTTTTTTAGTCATGTTATGAGAAAGGAAGCATTGGGGAGCATCATCAGGAATGGAAAGATCATCAATAGAAAAGGCAGTCGGAGAGAAATTGTCTAAGGCAATGTCATGAAGAAATGCCACCAGCAAATATGATCCAAAATAGATATAGTTAACGCCTGGGTCTACTCACGTCAATCCTACGGGCTGTACCACATATGGTTTAGCATCTCTTCGCAAAGCGACTGAAGACCGCGCGAGCATAAAACAAAGCACGAACTCCATAGCTCCAGCAATCATCTACAGAAATTTCCGAAACACCACAACCGTTACAGCACAAGGCAACTGCCTTACCATAGAGAATCTCCCCCCCCCCCTTTTCCTTTTTCCCCCCTTTTACCAACATGCCTCAATACGCGGGAAAGATCCCATTAACTCTTTTAGCTCTAAAACCAAAATTTAAGGCAAGTCAACAGAAACATCAGCACTTACAAAGGAAGCCGTCAGACATGCCACAAGATTTGCCACTGCCCAGTTGCCTCCCGTGCTCACTTCTTCAAGCTGACCAACAAGAACACGTACATCTCTTGAAGCTTCATCGTCGCCACGTCCAGTGAACACACGAAGAGTGTGACTGGCATTGCCAACTGTTGCATAGTGAAACTCAATACAGACGACCTGAGGAAAGACTGCTCGCAGACCAACGCTGATCGTTGCTGTAGCTTGGGACGGGATATGTGGATTGCTGACATCCATGTATGCGTATGTACCTGCAACATATTTCAATACATGTATGTACAAAGTAAAGGACACCTTTCCACGTCATCAGGCGTATTTGGCATATAGGGCTTGACCTACATTTTATATATTAAGCGGCACTCGGTGAGGGATGTGACCAATATCACGCTGGCCTTCGCTGCTTCACAGGACTTTGTCTCGTCACAGTTTACGGCTGGGTCGATCTTGAGGGTCCGACTCCATCAGGGCCTGAACGCACGAACTTCGGAGCTGCAGGCAAACTTCTAGCCGATACACCACTGTGCCCCCTCAATACATACATATATATATATAGCAATAAATAAAGTAAATGTCACTGTAGTGAGAGAGAGAGAGAGAGAGAGAGACAGAGAGAGACAGAGAGAGAGAATATGTGTGCCATACAGTTCAATCTTGTGCAAACCTCTGGCATGTTACAACGTAATACAACTGTCAGTCGTTTTGATTACTATTGTGGAATAGCTCCCATGTTTCTGTAGCTATTATTTCACACAATATCTCACCTGACAGACTGGAAACTGGCGGGAATTTGGCACTATTTGCTCTATCTTGCAGAACCCACCGGAAACCGATTCTGCTTCCGGCAGAAGTTTCATAAGTGCATGATTTGTTATCAAAATGACAAATCTGAGTCTCTAAATCTCTGGAGTTGCAGTCATAATTTTGTCCGGGTTGAGTTGCGATCGGAACAGAATGTTGTTCCTGGGATATATGTGCGGATGAGATTGATCCAGCTGTCTCAGTAATGTGTGTATTTGACCACAAAACACCTGCGGTATGTGAAAAATAAAACACATAAATATTTAACATGCTGCATTTGATCAAATGAACAAAATTTTATGCAATAAATCAATGTCATTGGAATTAGGAAAATAATTCTTGCATGGAAATTGGACAACAAACAGTTGAATGCTGTTGCATGACCATATCGATCCCTGCTGGTGAAGCAACACATATTGTGACTGCCCTGGAACATCTTCTTTATTCTCCGGACCTGACACCCGATAATTTACCCCCCCCCCCCCCCACCTTTTTTTCTTTCTTGCTCCCTAGCCCAAAACTCTAAAACTGGCGATGCAGAGGCAGCGACTCAAGGACGTTATCGTCATGGCGACAAAGAAGCCAACAAAAGATGTCAAAGAAATAGTACCAGGAACATTTCCACCAGCTGTATGAGCGTTAGCAACAGAGTGTAGTCGCAGAAGAGAAGTATTTCGAAGGAAATATAATATAAATAATTGCAGTGTCTTTTTTCTACACAACACACAGATTTTGGGAGATTTTTTAAACCCACCTCGTCCATGATTTGTTACCGGATTCTCGCTATCACTATAAAACTCCTACGCTGTGATGAAAGTGGTCTTTAGGGTGTCTCTACGCGGCGGGTAGGAAGGTATCCCCAAGTAGCAGAGCTATGTCGGCGTAGTAGCTCGATTCTCGTCTGCTGGCATTTAAGGTCTTAGGTTCGAATTCGAGCCGAATCTAATTTTGTTCAAAATATGACGTTGGTTTCCGGGTTGACCCAGTCTAAACTGGGTCCACGTAAAGTCCTGGAAAAGTATAAGCGGCCCGCGTGATGTTGACCCACCCCCCCCCCCCCCCACACGCCCCCCCACCTCTTAGAAAAAAATGAAAACAAGATATAAGCCTACCGTCATATGCTCGATGCATCCATGACGTGGAAAAGGGGGCCGTGACAGTTTCTGTTAAAAGGCTTTGATCATTAACAAAAACAAAAAAAAAAAAAAAGAAACGACAAAAAGTATGCAGAGGCATATCAAGGCGTTGCATGCCATTAGGCAAGGAACTTGAAGAATGAATGCGTGAATCAAGAATTGACATCGCTGCACAGTACTCACATGAGGTCTTAAACACGTCAGCCTTATAATGCATCGGTATTCCACCAGGTTGTACAGAGTCAGCCAGTCTGTCCACATTTTCATATCTCAACGCACTGGTATTTCCCGGAGAAAAGATCAGGAATACAGTAGAACCTCGCTTAACGAACACCTCTCATAACGAGTAATTCGCATAAAGAGCAAAACAAATTGTTAAAAAATTACTTGCTTAACGAGCGACGTTTCGCATAACGAGTGGCGAGGAGAGTGGAAGTCCCGAATTGTGCGCATGTTACATCAGTCTTTGTTTAGCACTCGTTCAAGTAGCATCATAGTGTCGCTTGTGATCACACATTTTCTCAAACTTGTGTTTTATT